AAAATTTAATTCCAAAGTTAATCCCCAAATTTCTACATTTTGGTACTTCATCTCCAGGAAAATCTTTACTTATTTTGTCCTTAATTTGGAGAATTACTATTCCATCCCTCAGAGGCAATTTGCACTTTGCATTTTTTTATTAGCCTCTCCATAAGTCATTAACAGTTCCTCTTCAGTTGAGTCACACCCAGGAAATTGTCCACATAAAATTGTTTGCTCTTTTACCTTACTCAATGGACTTTCCATTACTTTTAAGGTGTGCATTTATCGTCGCTTGAAGTAGGAACGGACTGGATGTACACCAAAATAATACGCTCCTAAAGCGAAAGGTTTTCAGAGGGCTAAGTGGGTCAATAGGATTCTCAGGCCAATAACAAGCGGTACAATCCCGGCAGCCTCTTATAAACCCACCTCTTAGAAAGCTTTACTTATGTCAGCCGTAAAAGGCATAATTTTTCATCCTGAAATTTAATAAGATATCTCCTAATTTTTCCGTCAACGACGGGCCTGTCATCAAACAGTCATTAAAACTAGGTACATTTTTGTTACTCCTGGCACTACAATTAAACACAATTCTCAGGAGTGGTCTTAGAATCCTTCTTCACTCCGTGATGTGGCAAATAGTGACCATAAATTTTGGCTTGCTCAGGAGGTACCTCTTCTATAAATTTATTAATTAACTGCTCAGCAATTATATCATAACAGGCAGTTAACAATTCTGGTGTCTTACTCAGTTCGCGGAGCTGAGCCTTTAATTGTCCACATGCCATTCTGTAATTAGTGGGCAATTCTGGATGGTTCAGTCTCCACGGAAGTTGTACCAAGTATTGTCCAGATTCAAATTTTACATCTCTCAGGTATTGCTTCTGAGTAAAAGAATCGTCTGGACTTTCTTCATTTACATTTATTCCAATGCTGTCTAATTCCCACAATTTATGCACTGGCTCAACACCATCCACTATGGAAGAATTACACTGGGGTACAACTTCATGAGTAAGACACACAGTTATGGTATTTGTAGTTTCCTCTAGTCATGAATTATTATTACGATGAATCCTACTATAGATTACATGGCCTCCTGCAGTCTTCAAAAGGGTGACACCACATTCCTTTACCATACCCTTTACAAAGGAGGCATAATAGTCACTACCTATCAAAATATTTATTGGGCCTACAGAATCATCACTTACACCAGAAGGTGCTAAATTTACATTATGTGAAAGTCTTTCTGTAGCTTTACTAAGCCCTACTGTAGATATTTTCTCTGGAAGTCTATCTACAATTACTGCATTAACACGTTTTTTTTCTCATTGCCCAACCTGACAGTTACATAAAACAGTGTCATACAATTGAGACCTTTTATCCGAGAGAAAACCAGATAATTTTAAAGTTGTGGGATCTCCCATCTGTACTTTCATCCCATCAAGACATTTACGTTTTATGAAAGTACGCTGGGACCCCTGGTCCAATAATGCAGTTACATTTTTTGATTTATGCCTTTTATCATCAATTTTTACCTGTAACACAGGTAAGGCTACTTCAGTAAAACCATCATTCTTAAACATTAGCAGCAATTTTTACATTAGATACTGTTGTGCAGGTTTGTCAACATTATCATTATTATCAACATCATATAGACCCTTAACATGACTTATGGGTTTCTTCCTTTGTGACTTTGATAACAGTTTTTAATTTGGCATAGCAATCCTTTACATTGTGATTCCCTTTAAACATCGGATACATCTGTCAAGTTCCTCCAATCTTTCAACTTTATCATTCCATGAATTATATGCATTGCAATTCTTAGAAAAATGAGTCCCCTTGCAGAAGAGAAAAATCTCTTTTTCTCTGACGGTTTCTTATTAACTGGGCTACTTTAGAAGGGTACTATTCTTCTTACCTTGTTGAGAATCATTATTTCTGATTCTTTGCTACTTGAGATGCACCTATTGCATCTCTTTTTAGGGAATGGTAATTTTGATCTACTTGCACCATCTCTGCGGTATAATCTTCTCCAGCCCACACGCTGCTGCCCGACAAACTTGACAGCAAGTCCTCGTCCCTGTGTTTTCTTTGGTGCTTGCATCTTTCTAAATTCCTCGCTGTTAGTGGCCGCTCCGCTGATGCTTCCAACCCCCCCGATCGCCCTCCGCCACACACTTGCCCCACAAGCCGCCCATTGCCTCCTCCCGCACACCTAGCGCACGCCCTATTCATCCTCCCCACAGCCACATCCTCAACTTTCGATCCCACCCTTATCACCTAGTGGTCTACGAGCCTACGCGCCGCAGACGTCCCTCCTCTCTTGCCTGCGTTCTCTCCACTAGCCCCTCTATCGCGCTCTGGCTGCCACTATATGCGCCACATACAAGCCTCTCCCCACTGGATGCTTCACGATTAAGCTCTCTTCCGATCTTTGAGAATCGCACCTTATTGTTTTGGCGCACCGCGCGCTCAGCCACAAGCTCGTAACAAGTTATATACACTGTTGCCCCGCCCTTCTACACTTCGGCGTAAGTGTGATCGGCACATCAGATGTTCTGATTATCTTGCCTCTCAATCGGTACCCCCTTCGTCCTCCGCATGCGCGTCTGCTCAGTCCTCATAAGGGGTACTCCTCCTGTTCTCTATTCGGTCCACTATTCCCCTGCCTTCTCTCGGCTCCCAGAGTCCACTCGTCTAAATCCTGGGGCTAAAGCCTCTGGCTAGCTGGTCGCGCCTGCTGCCGTCCTCCCCACATCCGTACTCCCGTACACACGCGTGCAGCGTTAATCTGCAATTCGCTGCACGCATTTACACAGGCTAGCCCGCTCAAATCACTCGCCTCCACGCCGAACAAGCCACAGCCTTTCTTTTCCATATCGTGTGACACCTCAAATGTCCTCCCCACACACATTTGTACCTGCAACATCGCGCCCGACCTTACACTCGCATCAGCGCCTGCACTTACCCATACTATCTCTATATGGGCACGCTTTTGCGCTCAAATTCAAACTTAGCTACGCGTGTTGCAGCAGCTACGGACATAGATATCCCTGCTGGCTTCCTTAACACTTTTTATAATTTATAGTCCTAGACATAGCATATAGGCTCCCTGCACTGAGCGTCATCACCATTCCCATCAACTCGAACGTATTTTCCTAGAAATTCACCCTCTATTAACTCCGACTCACACTCTCATTCACACTCCGTGTACCGACATACTTCAACATTTTCTACACTATCTCAACCCCCTCTAGCCTTAATAGGTGGCTCTGTCTTCATCTATCTATCAGTCCCCGCGCATCCCCCTGGCACTACGATGTCCCGCTCCCTTCTTCACCAGTATAGCTTCCCACACAACAACGACCCTCAATCGGTGAACTCAATCTCACACTCACATAGCTCCTTTCGCACAGCTTGCTGTACTTGCATTCCACTCTTCAATGTCCCATCCTGATTCTCCTCTCCGCTATAAGCCACCCCTTGCGTCTATCACCTCGACCACTTTCACTCCTCAGCTAGCGCGTCACATGCCCCGATGCCATCGCGCCTTTACCTCCTTCGACATTCCTACACCACTCTGCTTTCGTCTGTTTTATCCCCCTTTTCCCTCAATGTTTGTCACTGCCCATGCCATCCACTTGTTCACTCACCTGTCCATGCGCTATATTCTCTCACCACACAATTAATAAATAGCGAGTTACACAACACTCACACAAACCGTGCGCTACATCACTACACCACTACCCACCATCCATCTGACATACTATGTGTCCCCAGCATACCTAGGAGATACCGCCCCCCCCCCCCCACGCCTCCACGCTGACCCCCCCCTCTCGCTCCATGTCCCAATCCCACTATCTCGCCTAATCACTAAATCTCATTGTACCTTCCCCATGCGACCTCCCTTAATAACTAACTCCTGGAGTCCCCCCCCTTAACATCGCACACACAAACCATTTTTTTCTCTTCATGCAATCTAAGATCTCATAGAACTCACTTGCCCACAGAGATTGAGTTGCGCCATTCACGCCTCTATAAAACTCTCCTACATGCCTTTATTACATCTCATACTATCACTCTCTTCCCATCCATCCACTTGTTTCTTTCTCATTCGCTACTCACATACTACTAACCTGTCTATAATATCTCATTGGAAAGAACCCTTACGGCACTCTTACTCCATTATTAGTATTCTCGTACCCAACCCATTATCCCTATAAAACCACTCCTATCGCCAGACCTTGCCCTAGCTCCCCGCTCCGAGTATTACCAAACCACTTCATTCATTGCTCACTATGTATTAAGCAACCCCATACTATCCCATTCTCTAGTCTAAGAGAGAGTGACATCACTTTAAATACCAATTATCCACCTTGTCCTCGTTCATTAACCCGTATCCATCCTACATCGACTGCGTCTTACTCTATACTTTTAACCCCACCCGTCCCCACCGGTTCACATAAAGCGGATACTAGGCCGCCACACCGCAGCACAATAACCAATAAACTCGCGTGGAAAACCTTGCATCTTATCTGTCATGTATACCTCTTCTCTGTACATACACTCGTGCACATTCGACCTACAGAGCATCTCATCTCTTATTACTTTCTTCAGTTAGACAACGTCCAGGGAAATTCTGGAGAAACATAAGCTCGACAAACAACAATAATTCTCTCTCGTCCCCCACTTCGCCATACATACCACCCGCGTCTCTCTCCCATCCATACTCTCGTGGCTGTCACTGCGACCATATTATTATCCTATTGAGGCAATCCGCTCCCTTCCCCATTCCAGATATTCTGGCCCCCTACATAATCTTGTATAATTCGCTGCGGGACTGTATTTTCAATCAACCCCCTCTGGACTATCCACTTCTCTTTTTCCCCTCGCCCTCCTCTAACTAAGCAGCTAACGAGACACTAATACGCTGCTTAACGTCCCACAATCTACCTCCCTCTCGCCGCTGTCGGCGTTATCCTTATTGCGCATCACAATGCTCATGGAACCAACTCTCTACTAACACAGAGAAATTTATTGAACAAACAACTGCGCAATCGTACTCCTCCATTCCCCAAATCTGTAGAGCAGACTCTTCTCACTGATGGTTCCTCCGAACGCTCTTGTCGTCTTGCCTCACCGCCTAGCTCATGAATCGCCATGACAACTCGCTGAGCGCACGCCGGTATATCGACTCCTAGTCAAACTCCATCTCTTTCGCACCGACACGATATGTTGAGCTCCGGTTGCCCGCACCAGCACCACTTTTACTATACCTACCGTATGCCTAGCAACCGATTACCTTCACCCCATTCCCCACATCCTTATACTCAATAGTGCGCCTTCTCCTCCACTATTCCATCTCTTACAAGCATCCGCGCAGACCGCTCCAAGTCCCTGCACAGCCTAGACAGACTCGGCTCTTCCCGTTTTCATCCTCCTGACATCTATAACATCTCTTAGTACTCTACACACAGTTCTCGGCACACTCGCTACCTCTTACCTACCCTTATAATACTCGACCCACTTTTCCTTGAACCACTCTATATTACAGTATTCCACTACTCTAGATTCGGCACATAACTTGCCTATTTTGCAACAACCATGCGCACTGTTGTTTTATACGTGCGCTTCACACATCCGGTAATCATTCCTCTCTCTTCACATAAAATTTATCATACATACAATCTTCTTGACATTTGCCACCCATGACAAAATTGTTTAAAACACCATTTTCGACAAGCTCGTCCGTTACACTCTAAGATCTCATCTGTTTTTATGTTCATATACTTCTACTACTTATTTTTTTTTTAATAAGATCTGTCTAACCTAATAATCTCTTTGCACTTGACAAGCGTGGATGTATCTCGTCACGCAATATTTAATTAGTGCTTCGCTGTTCTTTTTCGACACTAACTAATCTTTCTTATGACGATAAAATCACGTATAAAGATTACTGTGTTGCATGAGTTCTCACGAAACCATCAATGTTAAATGACCTCACACCCTCCTTACTGGACTTCAATACAGATGTATAGTAATTTCTGAATCCTGGAACTCTGTAAATTTCATACGTATTTTGTATTATCTAAATCGTTACATTCTTCCCCCTTTTTTTATGGTAAATTTATTGCGACCACGAGCACTTATTTTGTTAGAAGTTATTTCCTTGCCTTACCATAAACACAACTGACACTGTATTTCCTTTATTGCAAGAATAAAGCCTCTAACCTGGGTGTAATTCAACTACAGACACGCCAAACTCAACCTGGTCCGGGGGTGACTTATACTTATTCTCCTGTTCTCACACAGAGTGTTGCTTTCTAGCTAATGCTTTTATACAAGCATTAAACCAACTATTTCTAAAAATAGAAAAAACATTGTAAAACCTATATCTGTATTTTCCAGATTCCTTTACACACCCACCACCTGCAAATTGGCGGGATTGTGGGAATAAGAGGGTCGTGAGAGACGTCGCCTAGAGTGTATAATTATCCCTAGAGCTAGATACTAGGTATTTACACTACAAATTACAACTTTCTGATAATTGTATTTAAGTAGTCATATATATTTGTTAGCTTTCTGTAGTATTACACGTCCCATACTTTAATTACGACTTAGGCACCCCAGCCCGGCAGTTTTGCTTTTATAGGCATTGCTACACGCTTAGGCCTAGAATGACAAATCATGACACATTTTGGTTTTTTGTTCTTCGTATGCGGATGCTGATCCTAATAATAGTAGCCATTTTGCTTCACAAATGAACAGCACCTGTTTTGCCTTCCTGTGTTATAATTTTTGTCCATGGATTCTCAATTGGGAGGGGTCGGGAGAGTTTCAGGAAACTTTGGAACGCTTAGCCCCAACCACTTTGAAGATTGTAACATTTTTGTGGATGTGTGGCATGGAGCAAAATCCTGGGGAAAATTCACTTCTCCATCAGAAAAAGTCTCTATCACAGTACTGCAACGGGAATTACAATTGCTGGATTGCCTTAGTATTTTCGCTGTTCATCGTTCCTCTAAATACCAAGACTCAAGGCCTCCTAGCAGTAAAACTACTCAATGCATCTTCTTAAGTGGGCCGCTTTGGCACTTGGTTGAA